TAGTTCATTTATGGAAATGTAGTATTTATATTAAAAAGTTTTTATTTGATTTTGTTCTTTTAGAGCTCTCAAACCGGATCCCCGCCTGCTATTAACTGAAGCTACTTTTCTGCTTCTCTTTTTCTTCCACTCGAAAAAAGCGTTTATCATTTCTCCTCTTGTCCTGACATCGCTAAGTTGGTACCGATTGGGGGGAGGGGTGATGGCTTGAGCTATTTTTGTGCGCTTTCGTTATTACAAAATGGTAAATTATTTTATTCTCTGCAAAATGGTAAAAAACATAGATTTTAATTAAATTTTCTATGTAAGTTGCGTTCTAAAACTAATTTGCAAATAATATAATGAACGAGTACAATATTACGCATAAGTACTTACTTCATAAATAGGAATTTAGTAGATCAACTCAATTATTTACCAACTCACATTAGACAGAAAAAAAAATTGAAAATTTACGGCAATGTGATGCTTACATATTTTCAAGATTGAGTACTCACATGTAAATTTGCATTCAAAAGAAGTGAAGAGGGGGGTAGGGATGACATACAGCGTTAATGGGAAGCGAAGAAGAGTTGTTTAAGTTACTTAATTGTGGAAAGAAGTGCGGTTTTCATGTCGCAGAAAACTGTAGCTTTTTAGAGAAAGGGAAATGAATATACGCATACATACATACATGTGTATGAGTTTTACATATGTAAATGCTTAAGTGTATATGTATGTATTAACTTAGCTTGCTGTTTCAGGTGGAGTGAAAGTTTAAAATCGCAAGGAATGAACTATGTAAACATGTACTTCAGATGAGGTAGCGAGTGGCAAAAGTTAATATGTATGCGTGCACGAATATGTACATATATACACACATATGTATGTATAAATATATCTATGTTACACGATGTTCCGAAGTAAAGTTAACTAAGTTATATCCTTATTTCCACGCTGTGTAGCAATGCAAAATGCTTGAGAACGCATAGAAGCGTTGCTAACAAATTACGGGCAATAAATCGGGTGGGGCCACCGATGAGGATGATGCCAACAGCCATAACGCCGCAAGCGCCAACACCCAGCAATACGAGTAATATCAGCTGTAGCTGCGGCTCCTGGCGTGCAGACAATCGAATGGCAAAACAAGAAATACCGATAGAGAGAGAAGCGAGAGAGAGAGAGAGAGTAAGGGGAAGGGTTTTACGTCTATCAGAAACTGTTGCACTGCCAAGCGTACAGAGCTTACACGTGCTTTGTAAGTGAATGTGCGTGTGTGTGAATTGTGTGAAGCGGAAACGTTGGCGGAAATGCAAGCGGAAATATGAAAGTAAAGTGCGAGTTCGGAATGCTACTGCAAATGTGCGTATGAGTGTGTGTGTGTGCATGAGTATGCGAGCCAGCAATGCAGGAAGGAAGCGCTGGAGTGTTTGCGCTATTAGGCTCAGCAATTAGAATTGCTAGTGAATATAAAAGTTTTGTTTTTGTGTTCGCAAGTTGAATGGTATGTGGGAGTTTTTTTAAACCAATGCGCGCAATTTTCTATAAACATATTTTTTTTTTTTGATTTTAAATAGGTTAATGAGAGCGTGGTGAATGTATTATTCAGTAATGATAGGGGAAAGTTATTTAACTAAGAAATGATCGCGAAAGTATTTGACTCCTTCTAATAAAAATTAAGCAATTGCTTTTCGTTAAAATTTCAGACCTTTTACTTAAATTTGTTTGAGTGCACTTAAGAAAGGTTTAATTCGAAAGTACTCTTGAAGAGAGTTGCTACCTATTTAGAAATTCGAACTTAATTTGATTAACAAGTTTAGGGAATTATTTTTATGTGGGTATCTAAAGGGAGAGGTATAAGAAGGTTTGATTCAGAAAAAGTGTTTGGTGAGGATTACAATATATCTAGAAATTCAAAATTATTTTAATTAATAAGTTTAACAATTAATTGAAACTTTTTAATGTAAAGGTTTTATTTTTTCTTTATTTATTTCTCTAGAGGGATGCCAGCTGTTTATAAATTTAGTTTAAATTGAATTACTAAGTTAAGTTAACCATCTGAGTAAAAGCGTCCAAATAAACAGCATAGTTCTATGGTATTTGGGATTGAGGTGCAACTGTTCTATTTCATAGTATAACGTTAAACCGTATATCACGCGATCGGAGTCGCGGGCGAAAGCTAGTAACTCTACTCTTGCGCCCTCGTTTTCGCACTCTTGGCAGAATGAGCAACCCACCTGCAAGATATAGTAAGCAATCGGTTTGTCTTGCTGCAAGCTGCTAGGACGATGAATTGAGTTTAGGCACCGGACTAAGTCGGATATCACCGCTTTCCCAGAAATACGCTGGTCGGCGCAAGTTAAAAAAAACACGCGTCTTCTTGCGACGCCTACCCCCGTTCCATGAGCTCAAAATCGGTGTAGTAATTATGACAGGAATGAGACTTCGTAACTGAGTACTGTCGTTCACGGCAGGGGACAAGCGACTCGTCACATTCTGCATCGAATCGAGATTCGTCAGCATCTCGTTCATTTGCACCCACGTGCCCATGCAAGAGAAAGGCAAGGCATCCGAGGATCTCTTCTATGAACGCTTGTAACACACCTGCCCTATGAAGATAAAAATTTGACCAGAAAGTTAGGTGACTTACGGAAAGTTTCTAGACCCAGCAATACACATGTAAGAACAGCCAAGGAGGCCTAGTGATCGATATCGAAAACGAAAGGCCGCCGAACTTAAAGTAATGAGGAAACCGAACCCGAGTTCCCAGTTGATAATGATGGAAGCGTAGTCTCACTGCCTCTATATATAACGAGGTACGAAAAATACTGGCTGAAAAACAACAAAGCTGTTGGAGATGACGGCCTGCCATCGGAGCTATTCAAGTACGGCGACGATGAGTTGAAAAGGTGAATGCATCAACTCCTATTCAGAATATGGTCAAACGAATGGCCGACAAATGGAACTTAAGTGCGCCCTGTCCAATTCACAAGAAAGGCGACTCTGCTATTAGCGCTAACTGCCACTGGATTAGTAGCCTTCTATTCGCCATAGGAAACGTCTTGAAAAAGAACCCCGATAAAAGGATCGGCACACACCATCTATTTCTCGATTTCGAAGCTGCTGTCGACAGAACGAAAAGGAGTTGTTTGTACGGGATACCATACCACAGCAATACCGCTGTATTAAGTGACGCTGAGCAACATCATAAGCTACGTCAGAATTAAAAAGGAGCGTTCCGAGCCTTTCGATACCGAACGAGGTTTTGTGCAATGAAAAGAGGTGAACCGCTAGTTTTCACTATGTCAAATTTAATGGCATTTGTCGTCAAATGAGTGAAAACACATTGTCAAATGGAATTGAAAGACGGTTTATCGATTGATTTAGATCAGAATAGTTCTTCAGTTGTTTTCATGTGTTGCCTAATTGGCTATCTGTCCATTGGTGTAATCGGTAAATGTTTGGGAAAAGGAGATAAAGTTGTTCCATCATTAAAAAATCTTTATTTAGATATAGCGCTAAATAAGATTTTGCTGATTACATATTGTTGAATAGTTTTTGAATATTTTCCTCAGGAAAAACTCGCTTCAATCGCAAGCTTCGCAAAAAAATATTTATGCGACGTTAAATGCCCACAAATTTTATGTTATTTGTTTGCATCAATTTAGATGGAATGTTTTTCTCTCGAAACATTTACCAAAGTTATACTTAAATAGTTGCATGTTTTCCGCATCATGCTTGTCGTTTAAATTTCATACTCATGTAGATATGTATATCAGTTGCTGTTGCTTTTGTCTTTGTTGCAGTTTATTTTATTTTATAGTTTGTGTCATTTTGCTGTTGTGTTTTTTCTCTAAAATTTCAGTATATTAAAAAGTTATGCTGCCACAAGTTCACAAGTCATCTCCGCCTTGTTTGGCTCGCTGTTTGCTGCTCTCCTTTGGCCTTTTACTGGACTGCAGGCAGGGGAAATTTTGTACGAGTACTTTAGTTGTTTGTATACAAGACCGAATATACTGGAATGTTCAAAGAGATCCCGATTGGAAATATTTTTTTTCATACCAGTATTTATTAACAAATTGGTCACCAAATGTAGCTGTAGGTCTTCGAAAGCAATTCTAAAATCATTTTCCAGATTTTGAAAGACGGCCTTAATAATAATAGATTGGCACTGACACAATAAGTTAGTGTTTGGCCGAGCTTCTTCCCCGATTTGTGGCGTGCGCCTTGATGTTGTCACACAAAGTGGAGGGATCTACAGTTTTACGTCGACTCCGAACGGCAATTGTATTTTTATGAGAAGCTGGTTTTCACGGCAGAAATACGCTGGGACGTTTGCCATTGCCTGCCGAGGGGCGCCCGATATTACAAATTTTGTTTATGTTTTATTTTTTTATTTTTTTGATCTTAGCTGAAAACTGGGCTCGAATGTTGGCGCGCAGGGTTAACCACTACACCACAGCGGCCGCCAAAAAACGTACGTTCAATGAAAAGTTGCTAAAATATTTGAAGGTTTTATTTAAAGGATTTGTCGCAGAGAAAATTTGTATTTAATTATTCAAATTTTTTCTTTGCAACAGCGAAAAATGAAATAGAAAATACAAATTCAAAAACTACTTTGCTTTCAGCTCCAAAAGTCTTCTGACAAAGCTTGCTGTATGAACACTTTCACACAAAGTTATAGCAATTTGAAAGCTTCGCTCCGCTCGGAACGGCTTGGCTCCGCTAATCGGGTTGTGCCGGGCCTAATCGGGTTGTGCCGTGCCAGACATTCCGGGCCGGGTCTCACTAATTTTTTCTATGTGCGTGTTTTCGAAAATGTGTTCTGTACTCGTGCCGGGCCGATCCTAAAAGATTAGATCCGCGCCTCTGTAGCCCTCAAAAAGTATTTTCGTAAAAATGTGTTTCGATTTCCACTATGGACTCGAAAATCTTTTGTTTCTGTGAATTTGAAAAAAGTTTCATTCAGTTTGACAAAGGTTTCAATTAATTTGAAAAAGCTTTAATTTAAAAGCTGTTTCGAGCCAAGGCGAATTCACATAAGGTGGTAGCGGTAGTACAAAAACAAAAACTTACATGTATTCTGTTTTTGGTTTCGGTACACAAATGTCAAAATTCAGCTATTATTCGCTCAAGGTGGAAGAGCGAAAGAAAATTCCGTCACTCCCACTTTCACACTCACTCATAAGAAGTTTTGACATCCGTCTACCGTGCCGAATTAAAGCAGCTGTTCTAGCAACACCACCTTATATGAATTCGTCTTGTCTGCAGTTTTCAAGAAAAATACGAAAAAGAGATGGAAAAGATATTTTGTTCAATCAAAATTTCTTAGACTNTCGTAGGGACCGACGATATATACTACATTTTTATTTCTTCAACAAAATTTACAGCAACACCAAAGTACTTTTTTCAAGCAACAGAAATGATGAAAAATATTCATTAAGACTTTTCTTGGAAGCTGCAGACGGGTCGTTTAATGCGGAAATGCAAAAATCCGAGAATGCAAAACTTAATTGCAACCATTTCCATTAAGGTTCCGCATCTAGTATATGTATAGTATATTTTTCCGCCCTCCTCTCCGATACTCCGGAAATTGTTCATATTGCACTTGCATTTATGTACTTATAAAAATACATACATACATATGTACTTACGCATACGCAACATTCAAGTAGCTACCATCTTTATCAACATTTCTTTCCCCACTGGTTTCAATGAATGGCACAAGAAACTTTTTCGATATAGCAAATTCCCGTATTGCATTCCTTGTTGCCATCATGGCTTTTATACTCGGTAAGTGTGCATTGTTGCTGTAAGTAGCAAGTTTCAAATGTCATTTAAGCCAAAACGATGTACATATACGAGTTCACTTGCTTGATTTATTTTATATTTATTTAAACATATATCTACATACATGCATGCACATTAGACCACGTCAAAAGAAAGAAAAAAGCGTGTAATGCGACCGGACCCCGACTCAAATTTGAGTATTTGGTATAGTAATAATACTCCATAAATCTTCCAGTTTGGCACGTTTTGATCGATCCTACAAAATTACACTCGATGCGCGACCTCTTACATTTAACGTAGAGCGGAGAGATTCTTGGAGGATCATTACCATACTAAATACTAAAATTTTAGTCAGCGTCCGGTCGCATTACACACTTTTTTTTTGAAGTGGTCTAACGCACATTAATATATATGTATACCTAGATAAATATATATTTTAGTGAAAAGCAATTACTCGGCACAAACTGACATCGATGATGTCATAGAAATTGCTATATAATTTTTACGTTCGCAGGATAGAGTTGCTGCAAGTATTTACATATGTATGTATATGGGTGTTTCCACGATATCGGACGTGACATTCGCACGACTTTAAAGTTAAATAAACCATACGAAAACGGAAGTCACTTATCAAAACGAATTGAAGTGGTTTCAGAGTATATGCAAAAATAGGCAAAAATCTGCGAATCCTGAGAGGCTTTCCTACGTTAGACATTCTTTAACTAAAGTCAAATTACGGACCATTGCAACCAATTCATATTTAATGAGAAGCAATGAGTTGTTGGTTTAATTATGAATTAAAATTTGATAACGGACGTGACATATGACATATCGGACGTGACAAATTTTCCCCCATACAAAATTTTTACTAGTAATACATATATAATTTATTTTTTTCAGTTTATTTTTTTCAGTTTTTCTCTCCACCGTTTCGCCTTTCACAGCCGTTTTCCCCGTCGGAATGCGAAATTTAAGGTTATAAAGCCGTTTGAACTCATTTACCTGCATTTTCGGTGTACATTTTCAAGGAAACACCCATTTGTAGTATGTACACATATATCACTTGCAACTCACGGGTTGATTGACATATACAATACTATACAACTGGCTGCATACATACATAAGCATTAATGTACATAGACGAGTACCTAAGCCAGTATGCTCATTAAGTAGTTTGAATTATTACTTGTGACTCATTAATTGCAAGTTAAATATTTGATTCTAATGTTTTTGTTTTCCTTGCTTTGTGGCATAACTAAACTTCAGGAAAAAATAGTAATAAAGCAGCAAGTTTGCCTTTCGGAGTTTGGCTTGGCTGTCTGATATCGATAAAGTTTTGAATTTTTTCTAAATTTCTGTTTTATTGTCCGGAGATTGTGTGTGCTTCTAGCATTACCTTTGCATCTATTGAGAATAGTTTTTTGTGTTTTTGTATTTAGTTGTTAATTTGTTTGCTACAGCACTAGTTTTCGATAAAGAGTAAGTCATTAGCAACTTTTCAAATAAAATCTTCCGTTAGGTAAGGTGTGTTTTGCAGGTGAAAACTTCCTTGTTTGTAGACAAAATTGAAAATGGTAAATTTTTAAAATAGTTTTGGCACTACACAAAATGTCATTGGCCTTTGATAAATTTTTTGTTGCGAAATTTGATCATTCATTTTTGAAAATAATTGTGCCGGTGTATATAGTACATATGTATGATTCAAATTTTTTACTTCTACCCACGTTCATGATCATTTTCGTACCTACTATTTTACTGTTTTCAGCTTTGTTTAATTCAGATTTCACGTTTATTAAATCCTCTTAAATTTTTTTTTTATTTTCTTCTATCACCTTTTTTTATACATAACTTACATTATTTCGATTTTTCAATATTTTTTTCTGTTTTTCAACCATAATTTCATGCAAATTCTTTCTTGTCACACACATCTCTTTACCGCTGCTTAATAAAAACAGCCAAACAAACCAAAAACGGCGCTGGGTGCGCTTTGGTGCAAAAGAATATGGTGCAACATTGTTTAGCAACATTGTTGAAAAACATTGTTTGAACTTTTCCTGCATGCTTTTTGCATTAAAGCGCACCCTAGCCGCCCTTTTAAATTTTTAAATATTTGCACTTAAATCAATTTTAATTGCTGTAGATGCTGCTCAGCGACCACCAACATCAAATTGATAAAAAATAATTTTGTTAAACCTGCGCGTTGTTTACTCTGACCAGTGTAGATAGGTGGTGCTATGATGTGCAGGAAACAGCAGAAAAAATCATGAGTCAGTATGAAGGCCTTACTAGACTCAGACTTCACTCCCTACGATCACCGCCCCTTAAACTGACGACCTATATAGCATTCAGCCCAGTGGCGCCGCGAGGTTGTTTAACGACACCTCGATCAAAGAACAACTTTAATCAATTTTAGGTTTCTCAAAATATATCAAAGGTATTCAGACTATCCTCGTTAATGTATTAATTCGTTTTCTGGTAACTTGCTAGCACTTTCAACTTCGAATGCTCCTCATTCTTGTTCTGGTTAAAATTACCTTCGAATCAGCTGACGTGAAGTTCTTTTATTTATAAACATTTACTAACTCCACGACAGAAAGATTTATTGAAATTTTAATAAAATGTATGCACTTTTCGCCAGATAAAATTCCAAAAAAATAAGTGACAGAAAGGATTCAGCTGACATTTTAACGCGTATGTTATCACATTATCAGACTTGCTAGCTCGTTAAGTTGGTAATGATATATTGGGTAAATTACAAACACAAAACAATGGTGAGAGTTACCGATTACCAAATTAAGACCCTAACCAGTATAGTCTCCACTAATGTGTAATTGGCAGGGGAAAAATAATCTCCTAGTCAAGCAGAAGTAAACCAAATATTTTTTTGGATTACGGTCAAGCTAACATATATACCTCAAAAATTAATAAATTAAAACTTTGTAACCCTAGTCATATATACATGCATACAATATATGTATATAAACTCGTATGTGTGTATATTTCAAATATTATTAGAAAGCAACTGGCCACACACTGCTCAAGGAAGCATAAACATTTATATAAACTTTGTTTCAACAAAAGCGCAACAGTTGATTCATTTTAAATCTAAAATCCGATTCGCACAAATGTTGAAAAAGTTTTAACGAATCAAACGTGACCAGAAGTGTATGTAGAGTAGAGTAATATTTGTACATTAGAAGTTTTAATTGAATTTAGAGACTGACTTGACGGCTATGAGGTGTCTAACTGTTGCTCAGCAACGGTGTAACCAAACTGAAGATAAATGTTGTTTATACTATACTATATGTATTTATGTGAGATATGTGCGCTTAAGTCAAAAGTGTTATGGGAATTGTAAAATACCAACTAACGAAAAGTAATACACAAACTAGGTTGCCTATAGTTAAAACTGGGCGGATGCATTTTGTAACTGAGAAGTGAAATTTTGTATGAATTTTTTTTAATGTTTTTAGTAATAAAACTCTGTTGGAAAAGTAATAATTACACTGTGCAACAAATATCAAAAAGTTGAAGGTGGTGGAACTCGGACCAACAACTTGTGATTAAGCTGGTCAAATAATGAAAAAGTACCAAAGGATTTGAAAAAGTTGGTTGGCATTTATTTATTTTTCTTGAAATAAAAAATTGAACCAAGCACTGTGTTATTGTTATGAGTTGAAGTAATTAACGACTCCGTAAATTTTTGATGATATACACACATCTGCTATGCATACCGAAATATTGTAGTGTTGTTGTTCCAAAAATGTGTACATTAGACTGCGTCACCTAAAAAAGTTGCGGTTTTTCCGCCGTGATTACAAAATGTATTATATTTTAGACTTTCACCAAAGTATTTCGGAAATATAAGTGACCTGGTCTACGAAAAGGGAGCTTACGTGCGAAAAAAGTTTTCTGTGAAAAAGCTGTTAAAAGTGAAAATCATCTCATCTTCCATCCGAATCAACCAAAAAGTGAAAATTGATTTTTTGACACCTAAGCCCCCTTTCCGTAGACCAGGTCACATATTAAGATTTACGTGAGCTGGACCGTTTGGAAAATACTTTCAAAAATTTAGTTTTCTATGAATAAAAATAGTTTCTTAAAGGATTTTTTTTGAAAAACTTTTTAAAATATCTGTTTAAGAAAAACTTGAATAACTGGGGCAAAACTATATCGATATAAACTTGTGATTCCATTGACATTTTTTTTTACTTATTTTATGCAAATTTTTTAAGCCTAAACTGGTTAGTCATCTACGGTAATTTTTTGCAAAAAATACTTAAAAAACTGTTTTTATTCACAAAAAACTAAATTTTTGGAGGTATTTTCAAATCCGTCCA